AATATTTTTTAAAAAATCACATAGGTTTTAGGTATACAATTCTATAATACATTATCTGTATACTGTATTGTGTATTTATCATCCCAAGTCAAGACTCCTTCCATCACCATTTATTTATTGATTTTTTACAGAGAGGAAGGGAGAGGGATAGAGAGTTAGAAGCATCGATGAGAGAGAAACATCGATCAGCTGCCTCCTGCACGCCTCCTACTGGGGATGTGCCCGCAACCCAGGTGCATGCCCTTGACCGGAATCGAACCCGGGACCCTTCAGTCCGCAGGCCGACGCTCTATCCACTGAGCCAAACCGGGGAGGGCCACCATTTATTTATCTCAATACTTTTTAAGATCTGTCTCTAAGTCAAACATTTTCAAACCTCTCGTGGAAGAGCACTGGCAGCTAAGTCAGCAAAGGCTGCGGTTTCAGATCCCAACTGTAATACTGCTCAGTTTATCGGCACGTAGCCGGCTTAGGAGACACTTTGTTTATTTATACTGTATATCACATACATGTGTTCTTTTCAACTTCTGTTGCATGCAATGAATTGTGTGCAATGCCTGAGCTAATATTGTACCACGGAGGACCAGTAGCAATTTCCATGAAGTGACAGATAAATGTTTTTTTTGGAGGGGGGAGGGGCGAGTAATTTGCCCAGGATAATTCATTTGAAATCAACCTTGAGAGTTTTCCTGTTGACAAGGCTGAAAGAAGGGAGGACTAGAACAAAAGTTAAATTCTTCAGTTCTAGTAAACTGCTTTGTCTTCAAGGCTGCCTTCTCCAAGTTCTGCTAGTCCATCAAGATGAACTATTTGATTTTCTCCATTAAATACAGTCAGGCATACCATACTGAGCTTTTTACAAAAAAAAAAAAAAAAAAGGAATTTCGTGATGGTTTTACAAACCATGCATTCAATGAATGTTGATTTGGTAATGCAAATTGACCATCAAGATTTATATTCCACAATAATCCCTCAAAATAATGATTTGGCAATCATTGCCAGCTTCTCTTTGAATAACCTTACTACCAGAATTATCAATATTTAGAACACTGGTTGATTTGACCTCCTATATGCCTTTCAGCCTCTGGCCAAGCAGAAACATGGTCCTAGGGCAAAAGCAGGTGAGCAACTTAAGGGACACATAGTGCACTTACGAGTCATTGGGAATTGGCTATTTTGAACATCTTTACTGCTGCTTTCACATAACACTAAACTCTTTCTTAGCAGCTGTTACAGGCGACTGTGTGCTATGAACAGCACAAGCAAAACTTCAATAAATTTTTCCATGTTAAATTCACATCTGATCAGCCTACTTAGATTCCTGCCTTTAGCATCATCACACTAAAAATAATTATTCCCTGTTTAATATTATATAATGCTGTGTAGGCTCCATAGAAAAGAAATTAAAGATACTTGGGTCTTGTCTTTGGGACCTTACAATTTTGAACAGAGAATGACACCAAACAGAGAGACATAAGCTATAAACAACTGCATGAATTAAATAAGGAAATCATTACATTGAGAAACAAGACGGCTTCGGTAGACCTTTAGTTGATGAATGAATAGGCAATTATAGAAGCAACCCACAGGGAACTGCTGGTTTTTGAAAGGGCTTAATTAATTATTTAATTAAGACACTACTGTAGGAGGGCAAATCTGGAAATTGTGCAGATTTGGCAACTGCAAAATGATTGAAGTTCAGGGGTGGGAGAAATATTTCAGAACTCTTATTATTTTCATCTCTAAACCTTGCAAGAAATGGCATCAGAACTAAGGTCCAGCAAATTCTGTTGGCTTTAAGTTTTGCCTTCATCCACATGTAACCAAGAGCAAATGTGCAATTTACATTAAAAAAAAATGTCAGGGTTGTGCTCAAATGTATATTGAACTCAAGCTTGTGACAATGCTCACCAAAATGAATACAAACAATACATTTTTATGAAAAAGTAATCACAACCTCCAAAAACAGTACCTAGTGGTGGTGTTTTATATTTTTTGCAAAGTGGAGGACAGCTGGATTCTCATATCGCCTTCCACATTCAATCTATTGCAAATCTTGGTGTGTTGTTGTTCTTAATGACAATTGCATCTATTTAAGGAGTAAAACATAATGTTTTGATATCCATATACATGGTAAAATGATTACCACAATCAAGCTAAGGAGCATATCCATCTCCTAACATATTTACCATTTATTTTTTTGTGGCGAGAACACCTAAAATCTTTTCTCTTAGCAAATTTCTAGTATATAATAAAGTATTTTTAACTACCGTTATCATGCTGTGCATTAGATCTCAAGATACTGTAGAAAATGAGTACTACATTAAATATATTAGATATATTATCTAAAGATATTAGATATATTAATGGACACATTTCAACAGCATCAGTTGGACAATTAAAGTCAATGCACTCTGAAAACAAATTATTATGAGGCCATACTTATATAAGCATGTCTGAATAGCTGGAGATCAAGCATTTATTTTATCTACTTTGTTCAGGATAAACAGAATTAATGAAAGATAATGGGCCTAATGCAAAAATCTGTTTCACTAGTGCCTTATTGACACAGCTCAAACCCTCCAAAATCAGCCCTTTTCATTTGGAAAGTGAATTCTTTCAGCTTGAAAATCGTAGTGATTTTCCCCCCCTGCAAATTGCATACCATTTTAAAAGAACATGTTTGAGAAAGACATATGAGAAAGAAATCTAACTACAAACTGGTAGAGATGACCCTGCTGTCACTCTTGCTCTCTGGCAAGCAAATGTGGATCTGAGGTTCTAGCCAAAGGCTCACTTCCCCAGGGTGATTTCTATAGATATATACCTTTACCACAAAGCATACAAAATGTGGTTTTCTGGAAATAAGGATGAAAATCTACTGAATTGAGTGCGGTCCTCTATGCTTGAACATGTAAGAAATAAAATGCTCTTAAACAGAGGAGATCCGCAAAGAGATGCCTTAAGATGAGAATCTCCAGTAGAGTTTTCAAACCGCCCCCCCCACACACACACATACACACACCCCTACAAAATAGAAAGTTTTCCAAAGAATCAAAAGGCTCCTGACAGAATTCAGCTCTTCAAGTCAATGAGGGGCTGAATAACACAGTTACAACTCAGAGACTAAGAATCCCTCCTGTGAAGCATTTTCTGTAACCATTGGTTAGGATTTTCTTATGGGGCACTATGATATTTTTGTCATTAACATATCAGCCAGACTGTATATTTATTCATTCATTCAACCATCAAGTGCCTACCGGATGCCAGCATTGGGGATGCAAAATGAATATGCTATGGCCCCCGAACTTCTTGAATCTGATGGGTGATGTCAGGAAAAACACTCACTTCCATTTAGGGGAGCTTCATCAGAAGGAACAAATAGAAAGGTGATCCAGGCAAAGGAAATGGCATGTGAGAAGGCATGGGGCAGAACAAAAGGTACTTTGGGGTCATGGCAAAACTGCCCACAGGAAGTAGATGGGAGTGGCCATTATTTTTCAATCAAATGCATATTCTGACAGCAGTAACCAATGCAGATCCAAGGAAAGGCCAACAGACAATAAGAACTGTCTACATTGTATTGGGGATGATTAAAGAACTGACTGAGAAAGCAATTTAATACACTACTCATATTCCTTCATCTTCTTCAATTGTGCCTGCATCAAATGACAGCTTGAGCTGTAATTATTCCATTAATCTGAAGTCTTCTTTCAATATCATCATTTATTTCAATATAATCTTGTTTATTTAATAAAATATTTTTGTTATTATTATTCCTTGAAGTGGTAGCACATTCACATAGTTCAAGCACAAAAGTATAAGAAGCCCTAGCCAGGTTGGCTCAGTGGATAGAGTGTCAGACCAAGGACTGAAGGGTCCCAGATTTAATTCCAGTCAAGGGCACGTACCTCAGTTGCAGGCTCGATCCCTGGACCTGGTCAGGGATGTGTGGGAGGCAACCAATTGATGTGTCTCTCTCTGTCCCTCCCACTCCCTTCCACTCTCTCTAAAGATCAATGGGAAAATATCCTCGGGTGAGGAATAACAACAACAAAAAAGTATAAGAAGATACATCTATACCATGGAATACTTTGCAGCAGTAAAAAAGAAGAATCTCTTACCCTTTGAGACAGCATAGAGGGACCTGGAGAGTATCATGCTAAGTGAAATAAGTCAGTCAGAGAAAGACAAGTATCACATGATCATACTCATATATGGAATCTATTAACAAAATAAACCGATGAACAGAGTGAATCTAGAGACATGGAAACATGGAACAGAGTGTGGAATATCAGAGGAAAGGTAGGGGAGGGTGGGTGTATGGGAGGTAATCAAACAGAGACCTTGTATTCATATGTGCATGGCACATGAACACAGACAATGGGGTGATGAGGACCTGGGGAGGGGGGCAGAGGTGGGATGGAGGGGGTCAATGGGGGAAAAACAGGGACATATGTAATACTTTCAATAATAAAGAATTATTTAATTAAAAAAAATTGTAAGAAGATATACAGCAATACCTCTTTTCCATTTCTTTTTGTTTGTTTGTTAATCCTCACCCAAAGAGATTTTTCCAATTGATATATTTAGAGAGAGTGGGAGAGAAAGGGAGGGAAGGCTTAAGAAAGCGGGGAGGGAGAGAGAGAGAGAGAGAGAGAGAGAGAGAGAGAGAGAGAGAGAGAGAGAGGGAGAGAGAAACATAGATGTGAGAGAGATACATCGATTGTTTGCCTCCTAACACTCAGGTTCGTACCCTTGACTGGGAATCCTTCGGTGAGCAGTCCAAGGCTCTATCCACTGATTGACACTGGCCAGGGTTCAACTCTGTCTTCAATCTGCCAAATTCCTATGCCCCCAAAATAGGTAACCAACATTGTTAGTTTCTCATTTACTTCCCAGGATTTTAAATATATACAAGCTAGTACAAGTATAGATTATTTTTTCTCTTTTTATTTCATCCTAAGAGAACACTATTTTGACACTTTTTTCTCCCTGCCTAAATCTGAGAGATTGTATCAGTCAGCTCTGGCTGTCATAACAAAATCCCATAGATTGGGTGCTTAAACAACAGAAGTTTATTTTTTCATAGTTCAGGTGACTGGACATCCAAGATCAGGGTGCCAGCATTGGGGTTCCAATGAGAGCAATCTTCCTGGCTCATCATCTCCCCACTGTGTCCTTAGCAAGCTGGAAAAGAGTAGAGATGCCTCTAATTTTGAGACAAAAAGAAGAAGAAAAAAAGTCAGTGAAAAGACAAACTTAAAATTTTTTTTTCAAAAATTTTCAATCATAGTTTACATTCCATATTATTTTGTATTAGTTTCAGGTGTACAGCATAGTGGCTAAACAATCATATACTTTACAAAATAGTCATAGAGATGTACTAAAGTACAACATAGGGAATATAGTCAATAATATTGCAATAATTATCTATGGTGTAGGTGGGTACTGGAAATATGGGGGGAAACACTTTGTAAAGATATGAACATTTTGAGGTAAAAAATAGTTTAGAAATATTTATGACCTGAAAGTAATCAAGGTAGTCTTGAGTTGAGGGCCCGACTGGCAGAAAAAATGTGAAACGAGTAAGGAAATGATGATGTTGGCAAAAAAGTAAAAACACTGACTCTGTCACAAATTCTCCAGCTCTCTAATACCACAGTTCTCCCTCCGATATAATGGTGAGTGAACATTGATGTACTGGAGTCAAGAGAAAACAGTTCAATGTCTTAAATAGCCCCAGCAAAGACTGTAAGAGAAGTTCATTTACTATATAATTCAATTTCTATGGCTGTTAGGAGCTCCCATCCCCGGCCCACTCCACAGGAAGGAAAAGCATTAAGCAAGCTGTTAAAATAATGCATTCCCACAGGACAAAACATCCTACAGTTTTTCAAACAGAGATGGCAGTCTGTGGTCCAGCCTCCAATCACCCTCTGCCAAGAGTTCTGCTTTTTCTGGAATAATACCCAAGTGTTTATAACTTTTCCTGTTAAAAGGTATGCATATTAAGAAATACATTTAAGTTTGTACTCTAGGAGCTAAGATGCTGGGAGACAAAAGTGCGATAGGCTTCCCTTCTTGGCTGAAAAGTCCACATGACATGTCCATTTGGGCCTGGTGATGCCTTAACCGACATTTAAGATTCTAGTCTTTTGTCACTTTAAACCAACTCTACTATGAAAATATTAATTTCTTTATTACATCTCATAGAAAATAAAGGTTATTATCTTTGTTTACTCAATTCACCTCCCTCCATAAAAAAACCCACACAAAACAACAAAACATTCCAATGACAAGGGTGGATATGTGGTCTTGTTTGAACCTATCATATTACCCCATCTTCTTGACTTGGTGATTGGTTTGGGGAGAAGTATGTGATCTAAATTGATCCAATGCAAGTAACTCTGGCTGGAGCCAAAGAGAAAGAGCCAAATAGTCAATTCATTGCTGATAGGATGAGATGGAAAAGCAAGATCACTAGGAGCCACATTCCCCATGGCATGGAGAAAGCCATCTGCAACAAGAACCAGAAACACTAGTCAGAGTTAGAGAGTGTGAGCCCTAGAAGTGTTCCTGGGACACAATCCAGACATCCTCAGGACCACTTATATCAGGTGCTTGGAGCCTGAGATAAGTCAGTCCTGATATGTGTTAAATACAATTTTGTTGCATGAGTGAAATAAAGAAATGATTTAAAATGAACATTTATCGGGGGTAGTGATTCTTAGAGCTTCTAATTTGAAGTAACTTTTATTTGAAAATATCTTTCAAAAGCAACTAACTAATAAAACCATCACAAAGTACTAATATTCACATAATTTGTAGCCAACTATTGAAATATGCTACTGTAAACAAAATTAAAACGAAAGAGTAGTCAGAAGTCTGTCAAAGCAGAAAAGTATTTAAAAATATCAGAGATAGCTGTCATTTTGAACAAATACAGCATACCTCTTAACTAATGAAATTTAAATATTTCCCTTTTAAAACTCTGACGTTCATAAGGTAGACATGTAAAAAAAAATGTGGGTTTATACTTGGAGCCAAACAGTTATTTAGCTATTTAGTTAAACATGTGCCCAGAATGCTAGACCTGCTGCCTTTCACAACACTGCTTTAGGAAGTCAGCCTTTCTCCACTGTCTTTCCCCAAGATGTCTTTTTAAAATGGGAAATTGATTGATGAAATCTTAGGCATGAATAAATGCTAATGCATATAATACATTAAAATGCTATCATTTTATAAGAAAGGCTTGTTGGCTAACAGTGTTATTACTTCTAGTAATTCCAAGTCTAGTGTTTAACTTACATAATGAAAAGAGGAAATCAATTATTCTGTCCACAGTATGGTAAAACTCATTTTAAAAATTATGTTTTCAGAGGCAACCAGACTGACTTATCCACTGACTTAAAATGTAGGGTGTCACAGTTGAGCAGTTTTTACCCCACTTTCAAATGTATTGAACAGTGTCCAAACTATGAGGAAGCACTTTTTGCATTGTCTGGACAGGGATGTGTGCAAGTTCATATCTAGCTAATAATTCAGGTTCACCCTCCCAAAAAGCATATTCTACAAGTGAAGTAGTTCTAGTATTTATGGGGTGGACAGTTACCAGAACAGCTCTTAAAGGCTACATAATAAAAGTGCATTAAAGCTGCCTAAATTAATTACCCATAGATACTGAAATGGATTCAGCTAATGGATTCTGCCTCCCAGAGTGCCCTCTTTCAATAATAAAAAAAAGGCAAAAAACACACGTTTTCCTCCTCTTTTATATAACATCCAGCTACCTGACCAGGGACTGCCCACAGCACCCCTGAGCCAGCAGCAGGCAGGGGTCACCTTGCGATCAGACACTCATGCTTCTCTCCAAGGGCAAATGGGCTGCCTCAGCAGCTGTCACATCCTGCTGCCCTTGGTAACTGGAAACTGGTCTAGAATTTCAAACTTATCTCCTGCTTTGCATTACCAAACTGGCAGTCTTGCCAGATCCTTGTAGATGCCTGTTATATATTGTGCCGGGCCAGCACAGCCAAGGGTTCTGTGAGCCTGAAGGGGGAGGGGGGAGAGGGCAGGCAGTGAAGGATTAAAGAAAAGACAAAGAGAATAAGCTGGGTCTAGGTCAGGGGTAGGCAACCCCTGGCACGCGTGCCAAACATGGCACGCCAGTAACTTTTGCTGGCATGCGAAACCCTCTCTTATAATCTTCCATTTATAATTTTTTTCTTAATATTGACTTTTTTTATTTTTCAGATAAATTCAGTGTGGGTGCATCTTAGATAAATAATTTTACATAACAAGTTATCTTAAAGACCATAGACATGGAGAGAGGGGAAGAACAATTTCTATGCCTCTGCCTTAACTCTCCCTGCCTTCCTAGATCCGACCAGTGTTTTGGTTTCATCCACATACGCTTGTGAATCTTTGTTCTCAGTGATGAATTTTGTTAAGTCTCGTAATAGGAGTAGGCTGACGGATGAAAGTAGTAGCTCGTGCATACCTCTGAAGGTCACAAAATAGAAACCTGATGTAAAATCTCTGTCATCAGTGATGCAGCAGCAAAAGTCCCACTGATAATATCAAACGGAGTCATAAAGTTTTCTGTCGGACTATCAGTGTACATGTATACATTAAAAAAAATGTATTTTTCATCATATACTGTGTTTTTGTCGCTCGAATGAATTTTATTATTTCTTCAAGGTTCTTCACATACGTACACCTTAAGAGATATCAAGTAGGCATAACATGTTCTCAAAAAATTAGGGTTGGCATGCAGAAAAATTTTGAGTCAGAGATTTTGCTGGTTTGGTACGCACTCACAAAAAGGTTGCCCACCCCTGGTCTAGGTGGATCTCCTGAGCCTGGCTGAAGCCACAGAGAGAGACCCAGATGGCAAACTGAGCCTTTATTTTATAGCCAGAGGTAAACAAGGTAGTGGTCATCATAGTTACAATGTTCTTGTGAGTTTCACTTGTTTTGGCAGCACTTGCTGCACCTCCCACAGCCCATTAGCTACCCAGATAAGATCTAGGGAGCCTTATAAGGTCAAGCCTAATTATGCAAAGAGGGCTGTGCCCTCTATGCTGGGACTTGCTTGTGGCTTTGCCAACAGGTCAGTCCCAGGCTTAACCCTATGGCCACGCCCTACAATATATGAGGGTGGTGAAGGCTTGAGAGGCTGGTGAACAGGGAGAGGGCATTTGTGTGTGGGAAGGGGCACTACCTGGCTGGCTCAGCCAGCTGCCACCAATTGGATGGTTCTGGAGATGACACAAGCCCAGAGGAAGAGGAGGGCGCACCAGGTCACTTGATCTCTCATGTCAGTAGGCAGACTCACAGCCCCATGCAAGGTTGAAACAACAAAGGGTCTTGTGAAGAGGCTGCTGGTTATCCAAGAGACATAACGAGGACCTTCTAACATCCATAGCAGGGACTCGGAAACCACAGTTACTCAACTAGCGGCTCAGTAAGACAAGCCCCTTGTTTTCCTACTTTCCCCCTACGATGTTCTGTTTCGACCATCTTTTTGCTCATTAGCAGTTCCAGCAGAGGGCAGGCAGGGGAAAGGAGAGCAGTGATATTTTACAGCAGATAATCTAGAGTCTTCTGAACATGTTAAGGCAAATTGTCTCAATTACTAAGAGCAACAAAGGTCTCTCTGTCCAAATGCTTTTTTTCTATTTGTCTGTAAAAGGTGATACCAGTTTTCAGGGTCTCTTCTCTCAAGGAATTAAGAGACTGGTTTGGGAAAGCAAAAGGAAAACACACAAAATAGTGAGAAAGCGTGCTTTAAAGCCAAGCTACCCCAGGAAAGTCATGGTTTTCAAGAGAAGGAAGAGAGCTCTTTGGGTGCTGACGTTGGTGATAGCACTTATAGATTAAAAGTATACATTAAGCCTAGCCAGTTTGGCTCAGTGAATAGAGCATCGGCCTGTGGACTGAAGGGTCCCAGGTTCAATTCCGCTCAAAGGCATGTACCTCCAATGCAGGCTCCGTGTGGGAGGCAACCAATCAATGTGTCTCTCTCACATTGATGTTCCTCTCTGTCTTTCCCCCTCCCTTCCACTCTCTCTAAAATAAGAAATAAAGGGGGGAAAGTATACATTGAAGTAAATAATTAGTGCAGAGAAATGAGAGTCAATGTTGGAACAAATATAATTGCTGAAAATTCTCTGAACAGGCTTCGGCTTCGGTGACAGCAACACAGACAGCACTCACAGGCTTCCTGTTGGGATCTGGTTTATGTAGAACAGGTTTCATGGGATCTAAGTACCAGGTTTTTGTGATGATCAGCCACAGTGAAGGGGTGGTTGGTAAGTCAGGATTGGCTGGCATTCCAGGAGGAAAAATACACAGTACCTTTCCATATCATCCAGTAAAGTCTGTGTGACAGTGTCGTGAGCAACTCACCCTAGGGAGGTCTTCATCAGATAAGCAGGGCTGCAAAATTCATGGCCAAGGAATGCGGGCTGGAGAGGCACTCCCAGGCACAGCTGCCACCTGAACACCCAGGCTGGCCGGGAACCAAGGAGACATGCTGAAACCAGGAGCCTCGGCGGCGAACGGCAATGTTACAGCCGCTTGATCCTGAAATGAAAAGTAATTGCTTCTGGCTTAAAGAATAAAGGGAAAAGAAGAGCAGCCTTGGCTGAATTACATTTATTTTTCCTTCAAAAACAACCATGCTGTAGACCAGGTTCTAAAACCCACTTAATATTTGAAAATGTGAGGAAATCGATGTTTCTGTCAATATAATTTAAATCCACCCAGGAGTACTGATATATTAAAAACACTTGAAGGCAAGTACATTTTGATCAACATGGTTAAATTAAATGCTTACTTTTCGCTATCAGGGATGACATTTAACTTACCTGAATATAATTTTAGAAAGTCGGTCCTCAAAATAGCTGTTGCTTGTTTTTAAAGCATTTCCTACTGAAAGTCTGGCAGAAGCTACCAGAGTTCTTTTTCTGTGCAGATGAAATTGCAACTGGAGAAATATGGAAAAGGAGGAGGGGGGAGGCATTTCAATACTTCTAATATATTCCTATGATGGAATTATCTTCTTTCTAGACAAAAGAACTCATAAAAATTCACAAAGGAACAGCTGCAAGTTTAAATTATTGTTAGAAGGATCTAAAGATGATTTTAACACACAAGTAAGTAATATTTTGCTTGTATTTGTTTACATCGAAGAGGCAACAGGGTGGCAAATGTCAGATGTCCTGATTATGGAGTCGCAATTTCCATGAAAGTAAAGGAGCAATAATAAAGAGGAAAAGCAGAGCAAGAATGAGAACAAACAGATCTTGCCTTTCAAATTCCAATTCTTGAATTACATGTATTAACTTAAAATATTTGTGGCAGGCTCACAGTGATGTAGAGAGAACTAATTAAAGTATATCTTGTCTCCTAGAGCCATATAAAATTGCCAACTCAAATAGCAATTTCAAATGGTTTATCATAATCCCTCACATGATTGTCATCAACCGATAATAACCAATAAGGAACAAAATCCAGTTTGTCTTCCTGCCATCATCCTATACAAACATTAATATTGTAAAACTAATATGACACATGGTATCTTCTTACGGCTGCTAACATTGAGGACAGTCCTCATGGAAGAAAATCCAAAGCCATTTATAAACATTACTCATAGCTTGTGTTTCTGCTTCATTAATTCAAAACAGACAAAAATAATTTTTATACCAGAAGTTTTCTTTGGATAACATCAGTTTTTTTCGATTTAACCTAACAGAATAGCACGGTGACACTGATGACTGTGGCCGCTTTCCTATGACCTCATGCCGGTGGACAGCTGGAAGGCCAACCACAGACCCAGTAACTTAAGTGCACAGTAATCACAAACACAAAGGGCTTTTTTAAATGAAAGGTGTCATACAGTCCATGAGGTAGAGAAATAGCTATGACAACACTAAGCACGCAAAAAATATCCACAGCTGATGAACTGTGCTCTCTGCTGGTGTATGACACAAAGCCTGTGACCCTGAAAGCCACAGAATTTCCAACGATGAAGGACTATGGCACATAGTAACATTTTGAGTATTTTTTTTAAAAAGCAATCCTTTCCACACCAATACTCTATCATTCTATGCTAAGAAAGGGTACTGAGTATTGAAATGGCCGCAACTTTCTTTTCTTCACTGAGCATGGCTCAAATGTTAGCAACATTTGCATTCCCATTATTGAGAAGCCTTAGCAAACCTTCCTATTCTTACAAAATGTGAGACTGTCCCCCCCAAATACAGATTTAAAGTATAATGCAAACATATTTTAATGAAGATACACAGTAATTGCAAACATTTAGATAATTAGGAAGTGTATGGTATATCGTTGAAAGCAATTTTAACCCAAATATGTCACTTGCGGATTCAAGACAAGCTCAGTTTTTTATGTAAAAACTAGAGGCCCGGTGCATGAAATTCGTGCATGGGTAGGGTCCCTGGGCCTGGCCCATGATCAGGGCTGATCTGTGGGGTGATGGCGGGGCGATTGGGGAGCCCCCGCTGGCACCTGCCTTGGCCAGCCTGGTGCCACCTGCTCGCCGGCCTCGCCCCCTGCCGCCGCAGCTGGTTGTCTCCCTCTGTGGGGTGACTGGCGGGGCGATGGCAGGGGGAGCCGCTGGCACCCGCTTTGGCTGGCCTGAGGCCTGCAGGCTGGGGGCAGGTCCTGCGTTGAGTGTCTGCCCCCTGGTGGTCAGTGAGTGTCATAGCAACTGGTCGTTCTGCTGTTCGGTTGATTTGCATATTAGGTTTTTATTATATAGGACAAGCAAATTAAAAAAAAAACCTTAATATTACCAAAACAAAATCTCTTAGTAAATATGATTTTAAAAAGATCATCAATGACACATTTTCTTCAAACAGCTATATTCTCATCCTAGATGACCTTTAGAGAAAGCAAATGCCTTTCTTTGCCCAGAGATTTCAAGTAAAGACTCTTTCTTTAGTACTTATATTTTGCTTTTTAGAGCTAAAACTAGAATTACTGACAATTCAAATATAATTTTTAGCATCTCCGTAGGTGAACTAACCCCTAAGTGCCTTATGACTTGCTTTCTAAAAATAAATATATCTTTTCAAATTATACTTCATCAAAAGTGAAGCTTAATGAGATTTTAAAACACAGACTTTAAGTAATTTCATTTTCCCCATCCCCTTGCCATTATTTGCCCTCCTTTCTAAGCATCCTGTTCTCCTCTTTTTCTAGTGTGAATTGTTAAGAGATTCTGAGGAATAGCCATTGGCACAGCAGTTGTGACTTCACTGATTGCTTTACCCAACCCAACAGTTAGAGGCTGTAAAGCACCTCACATGCCACATTTAAAAAACACAGCAAGCACATCATAGTCCAATTTCTGAAAACCAAGGATCAATGAGAATCATCTTAATAGCAACCACAGAAAAAATGACTCATTCTGCTCAAGACATAGGGGAATAATAATACTGACTTCTCAACAAGCCAGAAGACAATGGAATAACATCTTTAAAGTGCTGAAAGAAATAAAACCTATTAACCAAGAATTAAAAGCATAGCAAAAATGTCCTTCAAAAATGAAGGAAAGTGAAAGAAAGGAGAGAAAGAAATATCGTTTTTATTAGCTTAAAAAACGATACCTTTTTGTTTTACTTCCTAATGGCTGATCTAAGAATTGCAACATGCATCCTTATAGCAGTCTACTGTGTTTTCATACTACATCACTACATGTATAGTATTTAAAAAGTATACTTCCTGTTCCCCAACTTGCTCTTTGCACTATTGTTTCATACATCATATTTCTACAAATGTTAAAGGCCCCAAAGGAAGTTACTATTTTTTAAAAAATATATTTTATTGATTTTTTACAGAGAGGAAGGGAGAGGAATAGAGAGTTAGAAACATCGATGAGAGAGAAGCATTGATCAGCTGCCTCCTGCACACCCCCTGCTGGGGATGTGCCTGCAACCTAGGTACATGCCCTTGATTGGAATTGAACCTGCGACCCTTCAGTCCCCAGGCTGATGCTCTATCCACTGAGCCAAACCAACTAGGGCGTAAGTTACTATTTTTGCTTTAAATAGTCAATTGTCTTTTAAAGAAAATCTTAAAAGTCAGTATTTGAGCCATGATGGGAAACTTCCTAAGTTTACTCTCTGTGCTTGCTTAAAAAAAAATACCATCCCTTAAACACATTTATAAGAACTACTAGAGGCCCAGTGCACAAAATTCATGCATGGAGGGGGGTCCCCTCAGCCCAGCCTGCACCCTCTCTAATCTGGGACCCCTCAGGGGATGTCCGACTGCCGGTATAAGCCAGCAGTTGGACAATCCCTCTCACAATCCAGGACCGCTGGCTCCTAACTGCTCACCTGCCTGCTTGCCTGATTGCCACTACTGGCCCCCTGCCAGCCTGATCACCCTTAACCACCTCTGCCTGCTGGCCTGGTTGCCCCTAACTGCCTCCCCTGCCAACCTGATCGCCCCCAACTGCCCGTCTCACTGGCCTGGTCACCCCTAACTGTCCCCCGCCCCACCTACATGGTCACCCCTTACTGCTCCCCCTGCCAGCCTGGTCTCCCCCAACAGCCCCCTCTGCTGGCCTGGTCGCCCCCAACTGCCCCCCTGCCAACCTGGTTGCCCCCAACTGCCCCCCCCCCGACTGGCCTGATCACCCCTAACTGTCCCTCCCGCCTGCATGGTTGCCCCTTACTGCCCCCCTGCTAGCCTAGTCACCCCCAACAGCCTCCCTCTGCTAGCCTGGTCACCCCTAACTGACCCCCTGCCAGCCTGGTCACCCCTGCCACCCCTGCAGGCCTGGTCATCCCAAACTGGCCCCCCTGCCGGCCTGGTCACCCCCAACTGCCCCCTGCCAGCCTGACCACCCCTCACTGGCCCCCTCTGCTGGCCTGGTTGCCCCTCACTGCCCCCCCTCTGGCCTGGTCGCCCCACACAGCCTACTATTCAGTCATTTGGTCGTCCCTCACTAACCCCCCTGCTGGCCTTGTTGCCCCACTCAGCCTGTTCGGTTGTCTGTTCAGTCATCCGTTTGGTTGTGATGGCCCCTGAGTCTTTATATATATATAGATTATAAAGTCCTTGCTTGCTAACCTAACATCTCTGTCATCTCTAAGTATGTAAGTATGTTTAATTCTTAAAAATGACACTGAAAGATAAACAAAGCCCAAATGACAACAAAACCAATAACTTGGGCTGAGATTACACATGCTCAACTGCTGAAATTCCAGGTCCCCAATCCCTTCATATCACCTGGGAGAGTGTGCTGCGACCTTCATGGCGGAGTTCAGGATCTGAAGGAGGGGCCGACACACAAATGAAAATGCTATACAAGAAATATGAATTTAGGAGACATTGGGGGCCAGGTGGGGTCTTTCTTGAAGAGACACAACAACTTCTGGCCTGGTCCGCCTTTTATTTACTTGAATACACATTTGCCCTTTAGCAATGCATACAGGCATATCAAAGGTAAAGTTTGGTAAATAGTAAAAGGATTATCAGGTTAGGGAATTGCCTTCAGCCACTGCATCATCCCTGCTAATGCCCAAGGTCCATCGGCTTTCTGCATTCCTTGGTACACTCTCCTGACAGTATTAGCAAGTGGTGGCTTCCCGTAAGAGTATGTGGTGTCAAATACCTCTTCTTGCCACTTGCTTGCTACTGCTATCACCGTCTCCTTCTTAAGTCCCTATAGCTTGAGCATGGTGGGAGGCTGCTTCACATGTCAGTACCTCCTAGAGATGTTGTTCTTGTGGCATCACCATTACTACCACCACCGCCATCTTTCTGCAGTGCTGTAGCCACTGGCTCAGGGCTGCTCCAGGCCAGTATTAAAGAGTCTTGCTGCTTCTCTTCTGGGTGCTCCAGATGAGGGCCCACCTCTCCTGCTTCCTACTGTTTCTCTCTGCAGAGCTGTATGGAAGCCCCAGAGGAGCTGTGCTGCCAGAATAGTCAGTGCTTCTCATCTGCTCTTGTTCCCCTGGAGTCGGGTCTACTTCTTCTTCAGTCAGGATTTTCTCACTGTCTACAGCCAATGGTCAGAGGATTGATTTCCCCCTGGTGGTAGATCTTGTTGACCAAGGACTCATCAAATAACTAAGTATTTGCTAAGGGCATTTTTCTGTGTATAGAATCCTAATAATTGTCAAGAAATAAGGAAAAAGAAGTAAACAAATACATAAAGTAATAAGTTAAAACTAAATGTTATGTTTGATAAGAGTCCTCTACTTTGAAAAAGTTGACATCTACTAGACTCTATAGGTGTTCTTTAGTCTATCTGTAAAGCTCATTCATCAATTTGACAAATACATACTGAGCAAATGAAAAGTACCAGATTCTGTCCTGTATGCTAGGAATACACAGTAGACAAGATGCCTGCTCTCATGGAGCTCCCAATAAACAAATAAGTTAATATCAGTTACTGATAAGTGAAATATCAGAAATGGTAAGTGATTTGAAGATAATAAAGAAGAATTGAAGCTAATGGGAGGAAAACATTGGATGGGAAAATAAATAAAAACCTCTGAGAAGGTGACATCTGGGTTGAACAACATGAAGACCTGGGAAAAGAAAGTCCAGGCAGGGGGAACAGTGAAGTTATCCTATATAATATAAGCCTAGTATGCAAATTGACTGAACAGTGGAACGCCCAGTTGGCGGGGGGCAGAGCCAGCGTGTGGGCAGCACCAGGCCAGCCAAGGTGGGTGACAGTAGGCAGAGGGAGGGGATGGCGATTAGGGCAGGAGGGGGGGGGCGGTGGTAACCAGCGGTGGCAGGGGGGTGATCGAGGGACGGGGCTGGCTGCTCGCCAGCCAGCACCATCGCCCCCCATCAGCCTGCCGCCGTTCGCCTCCCCCAAAGGGAGACCAGACTGTGGCTTAGGCCTGCTCCCCATGCCTAAGCTGTCAGTCGGACATCACCTGGGGGCTCCCAGACTGCCTGTGAAAGGGCGCAGGCCAGACTGAGGGACCTCCCGAGTGCATGAATTTTTGTGCACCAGACCTTTAGTAAGATTATAATAATTCAGGAAATGAATGACATAAGATGATGTCAGAGAGACCAGCTTAGACATTACAAAGCTCCTTACAAAGCTATGTCAAAGAGCTTGGATTATTTCTAAATACAGTGGAAAGCACTGGGAGATTTCAAATAGGAATGACATTCCGTGATTACATTATTAAAAGGTGTATGTGTGTGTGTGTGTGTTTCAAAGGTAGAATGCATGACTATTCACACCTAAATACCCATCTCATAAAAATAAGAATTTTCTTCTAGATCACCACAATGTCTTATCACATCTAAGAAAACTAATATTAGTTTCTTAATATTAAATAATATCATAGCATTTAATATACAAACTCATATTTAAATTATTTATCCCCCAAAGATTTTTTAAGATATTTTTATCAAGCCAAGGCCCAATCAAGGTTCATATATTGCATTTGGTTGTTCTATCTCTGCAGTCCCTTTTAAACTAAAACAGTTCCCCTACTCTTTTTCTGTTGCTGATAATGACCTTTGGAAACACCCAAAAGAATACTTCACATCTGGGATTCCTCTGTAGGTTTTCTTATAAGTTGATTTTTATTTGAGTCCCTGTAATTCATGTATTTTTGAAGTTAGTTCTAAAGACTTAATTAGTTCCAGGTTAAGTTTTTTGTTGTTTGTTGTTTTTTGTTTATTTGTTTGTTTTTTGTTTTTGGTTGTTTGGGTTTTGTTTTTTTTTTTTGGTTTTTCTTTTTTAGCAAGAATAGTTCCTAAACAACACTGTAAATTTTATCTGCATCACATCAGAAGGAACACAATGCAAGAACCTCATATTTTCACTGCTAAGATCAATCACTTGGCCAGAGTGGTAACTGCCAGATTGCTCCTTTGTGACCTTTGCAATTAGTAATAACCTGCATGGTGATGCTTTGTCACTGTGTGAATGTCCAGTTGTGCAATACTCTTGCACCATTGATAATCCTTGCCTTAATCAATCATTTCATTGGGGGTTATGAAATAGTGACTGTTAAATCCTACCACTCCTTCTTTGGCATTCTTTTCCAAAGATGAATTTTCCTTCATCAACTAGGATGATATACAGTTCCTCATAGAAAGGTTAGGTAAATGTTTAGTTATTTCTTTTTACTACCAATTTGAGAGTAAGGATTTATTGAATAGTCACCTCCAATGAAGCAAATGAATTTTTTATCCTTCTCTTCACTTTTTGGGATATCACTATGGACTCACTCACAGATCTTTATATAGTCAATGTTTACAACAATTATAGTCATCTTCAAATTGTCCAAATTTGTCTAATGGGAGTCTTTTCAAAGTAGTTCCTGGTTACTTCTAACATGTCCCCATAAATCACCAAACACTTCCTTGATTTCTGGCACAACAAGATATCCCAAACTCATCTCGTAGTTTTCCTTCCCAACAACTAGAGTCAGCTATTTCTCCAAAGATCATTGCTATTTTTAGTAAGTAATGATAAGTGAAATCCAAAATTGGCTTCAAGGTGTGCTTATTGCTACTATGTTCTTTCAGTAGACAGAGCTAGGAAGGATAGATAGATAGATAGATAGATAGATAGATAGATAGATAGATAGGTGATAGATACACACCTGTATCTACTTTTATTCATGAGTCCATGTAAATATTTCCAATTCAAATTTAATATTATAGTTTTTAATATTCCATGTCCTTTAATATTAGATGTTTTAAAGGAAGAATGAACAGAAGTGAGTAATGAGTTGGATGTTGGCAAGGAAAAGAAAATATCAAGAATGACTTCCTAAGTTCCTAGCTTGAGAACCTATGCCTGAGTGGCTACTGCTGTTTCTACCATTTTATAAAGATGGGTAGTAAGACATAGGAGAAAAATCCTTGGGTTGGGCGTCAGGGGTGAGAAATCAACTACATATAGTTCATTTATTTTATTAGTTATAAAATTAAATTATTACATAGGTATAGAAATGTAAGCTATATTCAAGTGCCAGTTAAGATTCATCTAACAGTGGGTACCCTACAAACACTAATAAGAAAATCACTTTACCCCAGTAAGTGAATGAAGCTTGATACCTGAGTATAACTTATTAGGGCAAGAATATCTAGCTCAAACAAAGGGGGAAAGAAAAAAATGAAGATGAAGATCTTTGGGGAAGTAAAGAAGAACCTTAAAACAACCCTGGAGCCCTAGCCAGTTTGGCTCAGTGGATAGAGTGTCGGCCTGCGGACTGAGGGGTCCCAGGGTTGATTCCAGCCAAGGGCGCATGCTCAGTTTGCAGGCTCCATCCCCCACCCCCCCACCTCTAGTAGGGGACATGCAGGAGGCAGCCAATCAATGATCCTCTCTCATCATTGATGTTTCTATCTCTCTTTCTCTCTCCCTTTCTCTCTGAAATCAATCAATCAATCAATCAATAAAACAACCCTGGATTTAAAACATGGCAGAGTAATTTGCTAGGGCTGCTAGAACAAACTACCACAGATTGGGTACCTTAAGCGCAGAAATTTATTTTCTCATAGTTCTGGAGGCTAGTAGTCCAAGATCAAGGTGTTAAAAGGTTGGTTTTCTTCTGAGGCCTCTCTCCTTGGCTTGCTAATGGCCACCTTTTTCTTGTGTCTTCACATGGTGTCCCTCCATCTGTGTTTCTGTGCCCTAATCTTCTCTTTTTTTCCAATTGATCAATTGATCTTAGAGAGGGGAAAGGAGAGAGAGAGAGAGAGAGAGAGAGAGAGAGAGAGAGAGAGAGAGAGAGAGAGAAAGAAACATCAATTGTTTGCCTCTTGTGTATGCCTTGACTGGGGACTGAACCTGAAATCTGGGCATGTGCCCTGATCTGGAATCGAACCCACCACCTTTTGGTGTATGGGACAGTGCTCCAACAACTGGGCCACATTGGCCAGTGCTAATCTTCTTTTCTAATAAGGACACTAGTCAGACTAAATTAGGGCCCACCAATATGACCTCATTTTACCTTAATTGTCTTTTTAAAGGCCCTATCTCCAAATACAGTCATATCCTGCAGTACTAGGGGTTAGGAGTTTTTAATATACAAATTTTGGGAGAACACAATTCAGCCCATAGCACATGGGAGTCTTTAAGAAGCTGTGTGATAGAATGAAGATACATGCTTGAGAAAGTTAACAAGTCTTCTCAATAGCTGGGTCTCATTTATGACTGGGCGAAGACAGTTCAGTAGCATTATTACTCCACAGTGGGTTGAGCAAGTTTGAGACGATGATTAAATGATGAGCCACACATTTATCCACTTTTCCATGGTCAATGATGAATATACACAGAGAAAATCAGAGGCAGAAGGATATATCCACTCCATTTCCGCCAAGATTTTCTAGGCTTTGAACTTGAGTCAGTATGCTTAGCTTGCTTTCTGCCAGGGGGTTGGCATTTTAATCGTTGCTCTTTCCTTTTTCTTTCAGGACAAGTAGCCCGGTGCCAACTGACTCATCTGATACCAGCCTTAACTGTCACAAATGATATGGGAGTGGCAGATTTCATCTATTTTAGTATAGGAAAAATTAAAGAAGAGGAAATCAAGTTTTTTTTAAGGATGCTAGAAGATTGGCGCTTTTACAGATGGGAAAATCAAAGGCCCAGGGGGGGGGTGGGGCCGGGGGGCTGGTGAGCCCACTTGCCCGGGGACTTGGGGACTTGCTCAGCTAGCTAGGGACACAGCAAGGGCTCCCTCTTTTGACTCGTATCCAGTGTTCTTTCTACTTCACCACAACTTACTAGCTCAGGGTTTAATTTTTTTCTGTTTAAAAATACTCTTGGAAGTATTGCTTACCAATGATTTAAAATGCCAAAGAACATTCTGGTATAGTGGTTAAGAGTACAGACTGGTCAAACAAGCCTGTATTTGAATCTCCGTTTATCATTTACTACCACATAGCCTTGAGAGGGTTGTCTAATTTCTTAAAGCCTTGATCTCCTCATCAGTGTAATAGGGATAAAAATAGCACCTAACTCACAGAATGGTCCTGAGAACTTTAAGTTAGACCATTTATTTAAAACGAATTAAAAAAAAAAAAAAAACAGTGTCAGGAACATCATAAATATTCAACAAGTAGAACGTGTTATTATTCATTATACTACCCTAAAATTGATCAGAATTCAAATTTTCCATTCTGATTTCCTAGGTAAAATGAAGCAAAAATAAATAAATAAGCAAGTAAACAAATAAACATCATTAGTTAGACATCTCTCCATTTCTCGCTAAGAGAATGTTTATTACAACATCCCAGGACGTAGCAGTGGAGCACAAGAGTGAGGAAAACCAAGTATAACAATTGAAAGAAAAGGTCTCACAGCTCTAAAGATGGAAAAAAACAGTCTCAGGAGCAACCCAAAATCTCCAAAGCAGTAGAGTAAGAGGAGACAAAAGAACGAGCCTGGGAAAAAAGAAAGTATACTATCAGATCTACAAGCTCAGCAAAAGCATTGGAGCATGCCAGGAGTGAACGAGACCACTTTTCTAGATAAAAGATAGAGTTAAGATGCCCAAAGAAAGTGAAAGTTATTTCCAGCAAGAAAGACTCCTTGTCTTTCAGAGCCTGGAATCCCTTAATGTGAAGAGGTTTGTTCCGATGTAGAGTCACAGGGGGAATTGGTCATTAAATCCTGATGGGCCTGCTTCGGTGACTCCCATAAATGCCAGGTAGTCCCAGAGCCCATGCAATTGAGCCTATGCTAATTTTTTTTTTTTTTAAACCATGGATTTCTGCCAAGAGTTGGGTTCCAGGGCCCTGCTGGAAAGCCTATCATTCAAAATTAATGAAATGCTATTAGTATTTTAAAGTATCTAATTGTGCACCTGGGAAACTTTAGCTTCAGTTGAAGGAACAGAGCATTTTAGAATGCATGTGTAGTACAAGGGATACTAAAAAGGCTATTTATTTTTGTCAGTCTTTATTGCCTCAACGGATAAGAAGCAAGGCCCAGAAGTAAAAGCACAAACTGAACTTATCCACAAAGCCATCGAGAAGACAGAACCAGAGGGACGCCTCTGGAACAGTTTCTCCCGTTGAAATGAGAGAGAAAGGCACTTTCAGTTATGTGGTCACTTCAGTTCTTTGCTCTGATGAAATGGTCACCAGTGAGCCAGATCCCTCCACACATTTTGTTCATTCTTTTCCTGCTGATTTTAATTCTTGTCTAAAAGCCTCATTGGGAACATTTTACAAGACAATTTAGCAGTATTTATAAAAATGTTTAATGTGATTATCCTTCAACCAAATAACTACACTTCTAGGAAATTTCCCAACAGAAATTCTATCCTTTCTTTTTTTTTTTTTTTTTTTAACCTACCACACCTCTCTAAGCCTCAAGTTCCTCATCTCCAAAATGGGGCTTTTCCCCACATGTGGTTCTTGTAAATAATAGATGAGATAAGCTCTTGGCACACAGTAATCACTCTGCAATGTTAGATATCATCATTGCTGTGTAGGCATTAAAAATGTGGATGGAACCACATTACTGACAGAGAGAGATGTTCAGAAGATATATTTGAGAAAAGTAAGCTATAGAAGAATGTGTATAGTATAACCATTTTTTAAAGAAGGAAAAGGGGAAAATAGGTATTTGTATTTGCCTAGGGAAAACATGTTTGGATAAATATCAAAAGACTAAGATGGAGACTTAGAATTTTTTTTAAAATAATGTGTATTTTTTAATTTAAAGTGGTAATCACATTAGGAAGATAACTAATGTTTATTGTCCAAATCAGTGTGGAAACAAAAAGGAGATAAAGAAGTCATTATTCATAAAATGACCAGAAAGAAAAAAAAGCATTGAAAATGTTGGTAAATAAAAAATTCTAAGATGCTATAAATAATCCCAAATGTGTCAATAATTACAATAAATATAGATTGGGAAAATAACAAACTCTAGATGTGTGAAGATACCTTTCAGGTAAATTTTAAAACACAAATACTAATAAATATATTGATTAGGGACAGATACACATAGTAAAAGTACAGGAAAAGTGACAATTTCAGGCATTTGGTTGCTTTTAGGAAGAAAAGAAGAAAAACAGTGTGAAAGATGGGCATAAAAAGGATATTAACTATATCTGTAATATTTTATTTCTTTCCAACAAAAATAAAGTATCTAAAATATAAGTAACAGGATATTTGTCTTTTAAAATCCTGGTTTGTTACATTCTCTACTTTTCTGGGCATATAAAATATTTTTAAAAAATTAAAAACAATTTTTTAAAAGAACTGTACTGAGAATTTATATTTAACATCATAAGGATGATGTCCTGATTGCACATGTATTTTGGATTCCAGAAAAACAATTCTAAAATTTTAAAGGTAAACATGAAATTAGAACAGACAGACAAAAAATGTATTTCCACTTTCTACTCATCAGTTAAGGTCACCCACCTATGAAACACTGAATCTAGGTTAAGGAAGATTCTGTTTGAAATTGCCCAAAAAAATATACATGAAAATGTTTCAGAAGACCAACAGAAACATGTATGCAAATTTAGTAAGTTCTTTAAACTTGGTCAAGAAACACAGGAGCAATTGGAATAGTGAATCAGTTTCTCAGAGAAGTTTAGTTTTGAGCCACATTCTGAAGGAGAAGAAGTTCATGGATTTCTAAGAGGGAACAATTCAGAGAGGAAAAGGGACTTTGCTGGGGCACAAACAAGAGGCCTCATCAGCAGCATGCAGGGGACAATAGTAGGTTAAAGTGGTTGGAGCAAATTTCCTTCTCGAAGTTCTAAAAAGCTATGAAAACAGATTTTGGTGTTTACATGGACGTAAGTATAGAAAAATGTGGATATACTATCAAATAGAAAATGTAGGCTACCAGGAAAATAGATCTGGCATCAGACTTACACTGACTATGACAATCCCCTTCTTCCCTATATAGCTGCTTGCTCCAAAGCCACAGTAAAAATGTAAAGCATGAAGCCGGAATTTAAGAGCTGTTTGAAAGAAAAAAAAGGGAAATGCTGAGGAAGAACCATGAGTGAGCCTCAGTTCATTTTCTGTTGGAAGTGTTAGAATGACCTCTCTAGGGTTAGATATAATTTAATAGATTAACACAGATAAATATCCACCCCCCCCCCCCAAAGGACAATCTACTTTGAAAATATTCCATTTAATGCCATCAAAATATCCTAAGGTTGGGCTGAATTCACCCATCTGCCTTCAAATTAATGTCAGCAAAAGGCTCAACCTAATCTCTGTTTGAGGGGAATGTCAGTGGCTATGACCACTAATTGGAAATTTGTGTCAGTCCAGATTTGTGGCTTATAGCACGGAGGGTGTCATGTGTGTCGCCTGGTCAGTCACCAGGTCCTGCTGCCTGTGCCCGTTCATCACTGCTCACATGCTGAGTCCCACCTCTGTTCCAGATCTGGTCCTTGCTATTTTGCCCAATCACTGAGGCAACTTCCCCATGGTGTCCCCACCATACAGACCATCAAAGTGATCTCTCTCTCTCTCTCTCTTTCCCTCTCCCTCTCCCCCACCTTCTTCTCCCCACCTTCCTCCCTCCTCCCTCCTCCCTCTTCCCCTCTTTCTCACCCACCCCTTCAAATGCAACGGATCCCTGCTGTGCTTAAAGCCTGCTTACCACAGTGGGCCTCACAGCGGGGATGCCTCAAGCTGATGTGTCTCTGTGAGTTGCTAGGTGGGTCATAAGCCAT